TTTTAAAGATTAATTTATTTATGATAGACATAGAGCAAGAGAGAGAGAGAGAGAGAGAGAGAGAGAGAGAGAGAGAGAGAGGCAGAGACACAGGAGGAGGGAGAAGCAGGTTCCATGCCGGGAGCCCGATGCAGGACTCGATCCCGGGACTCCAGGATCACGCCCTGGGCCAAAGGCAGGTGCTAAACCGCTGAGCCACCCAGGGATACCCTGAAGGGGGAAAATTTTAAAATAGAACTACCATATGATCCAGTAATTTCATATTAGGAATATATCCAAAGAATACAAAATACTAATTTGAAAAGATATATGCACCTTTATGTTTATTGCAGCATTATTTATAATAGCCAAATTATGGAAGCAGCCCAAGTGTCCATTAACAGATGAATGGATAAGGAAGATATGGTATATATACATAATGAAATACTATTCAGCCATACAAAAGAATGAAATCTTGCCATTTGCAACAATATGGATGAAGCTAGAGAGTATAATGCTAAGCAAAATAAGCTAGTCAGAGACATATATGATTTCACTCATATGTCGAATTTAAGAAACAGCAAATGAGTAAAGGGAAAAAGAGACACAAACCAAAAAACACACTCTTAATTATGGAGAACAAACTGATGGTTACTAGAAGGGAGGTGACTATGGGATGGGGAAAATAGGTAATGGGGATTAAAGATCACTTATCATGATGAGGACTGAGTAATGTACAAAATTGTTGAATTGCTACCTTGTACACCTGAAACTAATGTAGCACCCTGTTAAATTATACTGGAATTAAAATTTTTTAAAGGAATAAAAAAGAAAAAAAGAAAATTCTATATAACTATCAAAATAGGAAAAAAAAGGAAACAAGAAAGCATGATTCAAATAGGAAAAAAAGGAAACAAAGACTTAAAATAGCTATTTTAAATAAGTTCAAAGAATTAAAGAAAACTATGTCTGAAGAACTTAAATGAAAGTATAAGGAGGATACTTGACCTGAGAATATCAAGAGACAAATTATTTTTTTAAAAAGAGCCAAATGAAATTCTGGACTTGAAAAGTTTAATAACTGAAATGAAAATTCACTAGAGGGACACAGCAGATTAAAGCATGCAAAAGAAAAGAACCAGCAAACTTGAAGATAGTTCAATTTAAATTATACAGTCTGAGGCACAATATCCAGTATGAAGGGGATCCCTGGGTGGCTCAGTGGTTTAGCGCCTGCCTTCAGCCCAGGGCATGGTCCTGAAGTCCTGGGATCGAGTCCCACATCGGGCTCCCTGCATGAAGCCTGGTTCACCCTCTGCCTATGTCTCTGACTCTCTCTCTCTCTGTGTGTGTGTCTCTCATGAATAAATAAATAAAATCTTAAAAAAAAAAATCCAGTATGAAAAAAGAATGAGGAAAAATGAACCAAGCCTCAGAAACCTGTGGGCACCATTAATAATACCAATATAGGCATAATGGAATTCCCAGAAGGCAACAAGAAAGGGAGGAGGAATAAAGAATACTTGAAGAAAATCTGAATAAACTTATAACAAATACAGACATGGAATTAATAATCAACATGCATTCTGCAAAAAAAACAAAGAAAACCCAAAAAACAGGACCATATGGCTTCACTGGTGACTTCTAGCAAATATTTAAAGAAGAATCGACATGAGCCCTTTAGAAACTCTTCTTAAACCTAGAAGAGGAAGTAACACTCCCTGGTTCATTCTGTGAGACCAGTATTACCCTGATACCAAAACTAGACACAAAGATATCACAAGAAAACTACAGACCAAACTTAAATTAAGATCTTTCACTTGCTAAATTTAGAACTCCGATGATTATTTTTATTTATTTATTTATTTACTTATTTATTTTTAAAGATTTTCTTTATTTAGTCATAGAGATGCAGAGAGAGAGACAGAGACAGAGACACAGGCAGAGGGAGAAGCAGGCTCCATGCAGAAAGCCTGACATGGGACTTGATCCAGGGTCTCGAGGATCACGCCTTGGGCTGCAGGCGGAGCTAAACCGCTGGGCCACCGGGGCTGCCCTGATGATTATTTTTAAAACCACTCCCAAAATGGCTCAGAGAAACTAGGCTGAGGCCTAAAAAAGCCAATTCTACCAAATATGCAGTCTAAGCAGGCGAGCCTGGCAATATTAAGCACATTTTCCTCTAACTCCCCCCTTTCTCCTCCTTTGATGAACTCTGAAAGTTATTCCCCAGCAAAAGGAAATGCTTCAAACTCTAGTCACATCCTCTAAAACTTTAACTGCCATGACCCAAACAAAAGCAGTCAGGCTTACAGCATGAGTGAGAACAGGTATAAGTTATATCCTCCAACAACTTCCCTTTTTTAGAGTTTTCCTTTTTTAGGGAACCAGACCTAGCTTATTCTCCCAAACCCCACTCCCCTCTCAGTCAGATATAAGATTCTTTCTGGACTTATATGGTAGCAAAAACAAATGCCAACACAACTGGCTTTTCAAAAACCACTGCAGCCAGGCCCCAGGCTAGAGATTCTGAATCAGCAGGAATACAGTTAAAGCTTAGGAATCTGTATTTTAAAAATAACTTTTCAAGTGTTGTAAAAAATCGGCCAACTTTGGGAAGCTCTTTTTTTTTTTAAATTTTTATTTATTTATGATAGTCACACAGAATGAGAGAGAGAGGCAGAGACATAGGCAGAGGGAGAAGCAGGCTCCATGCACCGGGAGCCTGACGTGGGATTCGATCCTGGGTCTCCAGGATCATGCCCTGGGCCAAAGGCAGGCGCTAAACCGCCGCGCCACCCAGGGATCCTTTGGGAAGCTCTTGATGCAAATGATCCAAGATTAATATCAAAGACAAAGAATTCCATTTACAACTTCCATACAGCCAACTGCTTCTCACCCAATTAAATGAAATCGGTTATCGCCTGTTCTCAGTTTCCTGACTACACAAAAGGAGTTGTGTATCAGATCACTGACATTCAGCACAATCATGTGCCTCTTAAATGAAACCTGGTACTTGCTATATTTATATGATTAGGACATGGTAATGCCAACTACTTTCCTGACAATGGAATCAAAGGGAACTTATCGATATTATAGTATTACCCACAACTCTTCTATCCCAACCCAAACTTAAAGAGCCTGCAAAGGTGTGAGTGTACAAAAGCTCCAATAACACAAAAAACCTGGTGTTCTTCTACCACCTATGGCTTCCCAGAAAGAATCTCACCCCCTAAGTTAAGAACTTCTTTTAGGGGGCACTTGGTTGGCCCTGTCAGTAGAGTGACTCTTAATCTCAGGGTTGTGAGCTGAAGCCCCACAATGGATGTAGAGATTACTTAAAAATAAAATTTAAAAAAAAATTTCTTTTAGTTCTTCTGCTTGCTACCAGAACCTTACTGTAGGGACCCTCTAAGTCAGAAAAGGTATTGTCCTTCCAACAACTAATTGGTATTAGTTAGGAAGAACCTAAAAGAAGATCAGTCACAATTAGAAAAGCAGAATTAATTATGCCTTAATCATGTAACTAATATCTGAGGGCCTACTACATAAAAGCAACTTCCTACTCAGCAATTATGGGGGAAAAAAAAGGTATAAATCTTGTCCATTTCCTCAACAAACTAGCTGAGAGGTAAACTTTTTAAAAGATATGTTTGTGTTACAATCACCTACAAAAATTTCTATGTTCATGGGACACCTGGGTGGCTCAGCAGTTGAGCGTCTGCCTTCAGCTCAGGGCGTGATCCCAGGATCCGGGATAGAGTCCCACATCAGGATCCCTGCAAGGAGCCTGCTTCTCCCTCTGCCTATGTCTCTGCCTCTCTCTCTCTGTCTCTCATGAATAAATATATAAAATCTTTAAAAAACAAAACAAAAAAAAAAACAATAAAAAAGGCATTATCTACTAAAGCTTAACACATGTGCATTCCCTATGACCCATAAATTCTACTTCTAAATGTACACCCAGTAGAAATGATACATATATTTGCCAAGAGACGTATACTAAAATATTCATAGAAGTACAACTTGCAATAGCCAAAAAGTAGGAAACAAACCAAACTTTACCACAGACAGAATATATAACCACAGAGTAGAATAGTATACAACAAGAAAGAACAAATATTGCTTCTTGCAATCACACAGATGAATTTTACTAACATTATATTGGGCAAAAGAAGCCAGATACAAGAATACATACTGTATGTATTTATATACAGTTCAAATACAATTCAAAAACAGGCCAAAAAAAAAAATTCAACCGTGGTGTTAAAAATCAGAATAGTGATTACCAGCAGGTGAGGGAGTAAGGATGGATGAGGGCAGAAGGGATGGGGCAGTTAAGCTTTTCATAATCTGAGCACTGGGACACCTGGATGGCTCAGTGGTTGAACATCTGCCTTTGGTTCAGGGCGTAACCCCAGAGTCACAAGATCAAGTCTCCCATCGGGCTTCCTGCATGGAGCCTGCTTTGCCCTCTGCCTATGTCTCTGCCTCTCTCTCTCTGTGTCTCTCATGAATAAATAAATAAAATCTTAAAAAAAATAATAATCTGAGCACCAATTACACAGGTATGTGCACTCTTAAAAATTTATACAACTGTATACTTACATAACATACATTCTTTGGATCTTCAACACAATTTTATTTAAAGAGACACAAGAAAGGGACACCTGGGTGACTCAGTTTAGTGTATGACTCTTGATTTTGGCTCAGGTCATCTCAGGATTATGAGATGGAGCCCCTAGTGGGGCTCCATGCTGGGTGTTAAATCGGCTTAAAATTCTCTCTTCCTCTCCCTCTGCCCCTCACCCCTCCTCCCTCTCTTAAAAAAAAAAAAAAGAGATTTGTCTGTAATAATAACAACAGAAAACCACAAAACAACACCAAATGTGTACTGTCACATCTCATATCCCTCCAAGGCTGTGAATTCAAAGGTGCCTAGAAAACATCCCTACCTCTATCTTAGTTTTAGGAGGGATGAAGTTCTTTGCACAGAAAGGAACAATTTCACTGCCACTCACCTGGGCTTTCTCTCTCTTTGCTCTGATCAGTGTGTCTTGGTAATGCTGGGCCACTTCTGTAAGGACTCCCTCAAGTTTGGCTGCAGGAATCTGCAGAGCCTGTAGAGTCTTTTGGGCATCACCTTCATCCAGGGCTTCATTAATTAAACCAATGGCTAAAATTCCTAAATATGAAGGGATAAAAGGTTACTTTTTAAATTAGGAAATTATATAAATAAATCTTTAAACATGCTAAGGAATCATAAATCCACCCAAGCATTACCATGATTCAAATTATAATTTGCCACCTACAATATTAAGCAGCATTTAAATTTTTTTTTAACTTTAGTGTTTGTTTCATTTAAAATAAACACCCTAGTATACATATTTCCATTGAAACCTCAAGTATTTGGTTTTATTTTTAATTGTCCTAATGGAAAAATAAAGAGAATTTTGATGAAACTGGCTTTAATAGTATAGCTTTCAAGTACATCACAATGTGTAATCAAAACCACTTTTTATTCACAAAAAAGAGTTTAAGGGATCATAAAAAGTCACCTGATTAAACATTTTTATATAAGAAAAGATTAGGCTTAGAAATTTCTTCTTTCGAGATCCCACTTCAAACAACTGGACAACAGCAGATCCAACCCCAGGGCTCCCCACCCCGAGGCAAGGCTCTTCTTGCTAAATCAATGGATATTTCTCACAGGAAATACAAATTAAAACTAGAAATGTCACTCCCCAAGTATCCCAGGCAGCTGTGCTATTTTTGTAAAGACTGTGGTATAATAAAGATTTGGCTAACTTTTGACCCCAGTTCTTGGGAAGGAGCCTCTAACCCCCATTGGAATTTCCTAAATAATTTGATTATCTGTTTATTATCTGATTATTCAGGCATGGCTTCTAGGACCACACCTGAATATATGCCACCCAGATGGGCCCCTGGGTAATCTCAGGATGGGGTATGATCATGCTGGAAAGACCAAGCATATGATCAGAATTCTGGGGGTTTGAGCAACATGATATTGTGATATCAGCCAACCCTACCTATCTCCTCCAGGGAGAAGAGGTAGTTTGGAAACGGAGTTCAATTACATGGCCAACAATCAATTCTTCACAGGTAATGAAGCCTCTTAATATCTCTGGCGACCCAAAGCTCAGGAGAGCTGGTTGGGGTATACATCCTGAGGACACATAAGCTTGGTCTTTGGGACCTCACTATATTTAGGATCACCCTCTAGGTCTTCTCTTTTGGCCAGTCCTGATTTGTATCCTTTCTAATAAAACTATATTCATAAATATAGCATTTCCTGAGTTAAGTCACTCTAGCAAATTATTGAATCTGAGGGGAGTGTTGAAGGAAGCTCTGAATTTATAGCCAATTGTTCAGAAGTGTAGTGACCTGGGAACTCCTTAAAGCTTGTGGCTAGTGTCTCCAATGAGAGGAGTCTTATGGAAGATTGAGCACTACACCCATGCAAGATGACCTAAATCCAGGTGGTGTTATAACTACTTGTTATAAAACATTTAAAAATAACAGATCATGTTCAAGTTATCTCCTGAAAATGTTAGTCCTTATTACATACATATCTAATTGTAGCAGTTGCCTGATGTTTCAAAAACAATATCCAACCTCAGCTTTTTGTGACACACACACACACACAGACAAATTTTCAAAAATCTTTCTAGGAGTAATGTTTAGAGCCAGTTTATGGAATCACAGTACCTTTAACAGTTTCACTATCTGAGGGGATGGTTAAGTAGATTACTCACTCTCATGTTCCTCCTGCACCACCAGATTTACATGGTCCACACAAGCTTGGATGTCATTCCATGTAATAAATTCATTATTTTCTGCATGTGCCTGAGTTTTCAGTTTCATCAGTTCATCAAGATACCTACCCCATTCCCCCAACAAAGAAGATAATGAAATACAATAAAATATTTAAAAAAAATCATTAAGCAAATCTTACTGAAAAGTATTGATTTTTTTTTGGTCTTTTTCTTTTTTGTTGTTTTCAAACAGCATTAAATATTTTATTATTACCTCCAATTTTTCTGGAATATAAATGCAATTGAAATTCAGTCATTCATTCATGCAAAGTATTGATTTAGACAAGGATTATCAACTTGGGTTAAAAATATTAGGTATGGGGATCCCTGGGCGGCGCAGCAGTTTAGCGCCTGCCTTTGGCCCAGGGTGTGTTCGTGGAGACCCGGGATCGAATCCCACTTCGGTTTCCCAGTGCATGGAGCCTGCTTCTCCCTCTGCCTATGTCTCTGCCTCTCTCTCTCTCTCTCTGTGTGACTATCATAAATTAAAAAAAAAAAAATTAAAAAAAATATTAGCAATGGGTAATGGGGAACTGGACACTCTGATGGTACAAAGGTGCAAAAAAAGGTTATGCTAAGGGAAAAACATAAATACACATAAGAGGGATAAGCTGTCTCCCAGATTCAAGAATCAATCTTAGTATCTTTAATGGTGACACAAGTCGATTTCATATGCCTCTAGTTATGAGAAAATATGAAATACACAACACCAAAAATGCTGACTTGATCTTGACAAGCCTTTACACCTAATTTCTAATTTACAAAAATAAGCCAAATCTCAGGAAGCAACTAGAACCAGAAGATGGAACATTTTAGAACAACTGGTCCTATCTCTTTAACAAGTCAATGTCATGAAGAAAGGAACAATGCTAGATTAAGAGATACCTAAAGGGTACAATAGCCAGGTGTAACACATAGTCCTGCACTGGACCCTGGTTTGAAGAAATCAGGTGAAAAGGACAGTTTCGAAACTAGTGAAGTACGTATGAAAGAAGTATGTAATGGACTAGGGTCTGCACATATTAAAGAAGAACTATTGATTTTGCCAGGGTTTGTACTATGAGATTGTACTATTTTGGCTATCTAATAAATATCCTCACTGTTTTAGATAAGCATACTTACATATTGAGGGGTGGAATGTCATGATATATGTAATTTACTATAAATCCTCCAGCATAATAAAGAATAAAATGAATCAGAATGGGGGGGGGAAGCATCATACTAAAGTCACAATGCCTGAAAACAGGAGTGTGGACACCCAACAGAGTAAAAGCTGTCCAATGGATTACATATACTGCTCTGGGGACCCACCTCTGACAGTTTTCTTCTTCGATATTGGTAAGGCCTGTCACAGAACTGCTCAACTGTTTCCACACTGTGTTCATGTCCCCTGACTCCAGTGCCCTGTTGATTAGGGCCACAGATGACAACATCTCCACAGCAACAGATAGCTCAGGATGGGTGAGGCTATGCTGCACAGAAAGGAGAGGAAAAAAGGGTGAGGACAGACATTCCGGGATACCAAGTGAGGTCAGGACTTCAGTTAAGCCATAAGAAGTCTAAGTTTCTGTTTTTTTGTTTGTTTGTTTTTTTAAAAAAGGCTCTGCCAAGCACACCAAGAAGTAGGTGTTGAGTTCACTTCTGCCCCATTTTGCTCACAAACAGGAGAGGTTCAGCTGACTTACTTCAGGACTCTGTTGCTGCAGGGTAGCCAGCTCTTTCTGATAAAGATCAGCAGCAAAGGGATACACCTGGGGCAGCTGGGCCTCAGGATTCATGAGCTCCAGAACAGTCTTCTCAGCAACACCCTTCTGGATGGCAGCATTGATTGCCGCCACAGCTGCCAACCCTGCACAGAACACAGGTCAGAAATGCAGCTGGCTTGGGAAGCCCTGAGAGGAAAGAGATTCAGTTTTCACAGAAGAAAGTTCTATTCTGCAGATAAACTATAAGCCATGATGTTTGAAGTGGAACTTTCATCTTTTAAAAAAACAGCCTCCCTCTTTGTATGAAGATGAACTGCAGGCTATGCCAACTATATCCCAATAAAGCTACTTTCCACTCCAATTCATCCTGCGACTCTTTCTAAAGCATCTCTCCCATCCCATATAGCCTGGCGAATCAAGTACCAGCTTCTTAAGCTGCCACAATCTTTCCAAGGGTTTATCTTAAACAGCTCAACCCCGAATATCTACAAATATTGTATTCTAACCGCTATTGCTTCAAAACATCTTTGACCTTTGGCAGCTCTGCTCACACCTCCTTTCCTCTCTGCTCAGGTTAGGAACATCCTTCTCTCTCTGCCACCACCCAGATCTTACCAATCAAGCCCTAAGACTCTGCTCCAATGACCAAGTGCTTGCTAGCCAGAGTAGGCCCACACTGACTCCAGTTCTACTCTAAAACTAGAGGAACCCTACCACTGGTAGGGCACCTCTAGTGGCACCTGCTGGTTGATTGTGGCTAGCAGGCTTGGGGTGGGGGACAGGATCTGACCTCAGATGCCCTAGCAACATTAACCCCACACAGTATCTCAGGGAGAGGACTCTTACTTCTTTGATACTGTTGGGCAGTAATGTTTGCAGCATCCACTCCAGACTGGAGCTCCTCCTTCTGCAGGGGATCAGCCTGACCACCCTGAGAAAAGCAAAGAACATTTATGTAAAGATTCTCACGGCTATGCCTCCAGGCCTTACAGCTGTATCTCAATAGCAGTCACAGGGACAAAGTTCTGCCCTAAGTGGATGCATCAGGCTGCATCAGAGAAAGTGGTAGTGGGAACAAATGCCCTCAAATCTGGGGTAGAGGACTTTCCAGATACTAGCACATAAAAAAAAAAAGTTTGTAAGAAGCATCAAAATACTGACATAAGATGTTTACAGCCTCATTAGCACATTAATACTGCTTGCTTTGGCCATAGATACTGGGAATCTGCAAAATGTGCACTTGTTGGGCCTTGTTCAGACAAAAAAGAAAGCCATTTGTGTTTGTTCTACCAGCCCCACTAAGTACAATTCCACAGTCTGCTCTTACTGCACATTAGTTAAGTACTTTCCCAGTGCTGGCCAGAGGAAACCAGTGATGTGTGTTTTTATGTAGGAAATTCCTGAAGTAAGAATGTAGGAGAGATTCAGGTTTTCCCCCAGGGCTTTTCATTGGGGGGTTAAAAAGGATGCTTCAAGTGAAGGGGTAGTCAGGCTTGGAGGGCAGGTACTATTTATGTTTAAGAGGGTTTACAGGGACACCTGGGTGGCTCAGTGGTTGAGTATCTGCCTTTGGCTCAGGCGTGATCCCGGGGCCCTGGGATCGGGGCCCTGAGATCGAGTCCCGCATCAGGCTCCCTGCAGGAAGCCTGCTTCTCCCTCTGCTTGTGTCTCTCATTAATAAATAAAATCTTAAAAAAAAAAAAAAAAAAAAGGTTTACAGCTATAAAAGCAAACAAGAGCTAAAGACAATCTGTATTTTACCTGAGGATATTATAAAAACCTACATTAAGATGCAGGAAGTTATGCTAAAAACTATAGGTTATACTGTAACTATAGGGAAAAGAGATCCCACAAATATCTTTCAGCGAGAACACAAGATTCAAACAGCTGTATGTGAATGCCTGCCAGCCTGACCCACGATCCTCACCTGTCTCTTGTGCTGTCTGTCACTCAGGAGCTGCTTGAGGTACCAGTCCCCGTTTTGCTGCTGCAGCCCTCGAAGGCCCAGGGCTGGTGACTGCAGTGCCCGGAACAAGGCAGGTACTACACCCTGCTCCAAAGCCAGGTCCACATTTGCTAATGCAGAAGACGCTGAGGAGGGGGAAAGGCCGCAGCTTATGAAAACGTTTTGTGAGCATCACAGCTTACATCACTTTCCTTCCCCTAAACCAACCTCAATTTCAGAAGAGCGAAATATAGCTCAGATGGCCTTTGTTCTGGAATATCCCAGAAGCACAAGATCTTGGAATTGGAAGAGAACCTTAAACTGCTCAAGTTCAGGGGTCCCCAACTGGACTGTTTGTCAGTTAACAGATTCCTGGAGCATGCCTCAGACCTACTGAAAAGCTTTCAGATACAGACACCTTAGCACTATGGGGGTAGCAATATGAGGCACCAGTCAAAACCAACACATGTCTAAATTCCCTCTAAACGCCAAGTTGTTGTCTAGATAAAACTACTAAACAGGAGAAGGTTTCTTCCACAGCAATCTGTGAAAGTTTTCACCCTGGTGTTGACGCTTGGATACATCCAATCCCTCTTTCCCTCAGTCTACCCCAGATTAAGGAACTTTCATTCCTTCTTAACAGCATCAGTCTGAATCCCTTCATTATCCAGCTGCCTCCTGAACACACTCTACTAGGACAGTGAGTGCCCAGATAGCGAGGGTGGTCTGAGCGCAGGGATTGGTAGAGGCGATTAATACCCTCAATCCTCTCTACCTCTAGTCACTTGAAGTCACACAAGGTCTTTAACATCTGGCAGTGAAAACCTAGATGCTCCTTCATCTGAAAGTAATAAAGACACCTTCTTCACAGTGTTGTTGATAAGATTAAACAAAATTACATATGTGAAAGCACTTTTTATGTTGTAAAATAAATAAGGAATTAGGCTGGCAGTCAGAATAAGGTATTTTCTGACTTCAAAAATAATAGCCACTGGGAAGCGATCCTTACCGTATGATTTTGTTTCCCTATTTTTAGAAAACAAGAATTCTCCCTCCATGCTCCATTCAGGGATGAACATCTGATTTTTATCACCAAAGTAGCAAAACAAATCAATAACAACATACCAAAAATCAAAGTATTTGGGGTATAGCAGCACTTAAAATTTTTAAATGTTTTAATGTTTTCATTAGTAAAAAAAAAAAAAATGAATACAAGGTGTTAAAGGAAAAATTTTAAATCTCTATGGATTTGTAGACTCAGTGTAGACTCCTAAGAGACTATTCTCTCCTTCCCAACGATTATACCTGCAATTCTGCTAACTCATCAACCACACCAAGGTGATGGCTACTCCTCCATGTGATCCTTAGCCAACTAACTATCCATTCCTTCAACAGCATTTACTGAGCACCTGCTTTGTGCTGCAAATACAGCTATGAACAAAACAAATGATCTCTGTCTTGGTGAAGATTTTATAGGAGTGGGGACAGAAAATACAACCAACACAGGTTAACAACCAGGCTTTCTCTAGGTATGTGATGCAGAATCTCAGATTATCTATCTACAAAAGCATCTAGTCAATTACGCTTTTACTTTAAAGCATACTTACTACATAAATATGTAAATATTTAAATAAACATTTACTGACATTCACACTATAAAGATGATAAAGGTTAGAACACTATTTAAATACTTTCTTCCATTAGGCTTTAAGTAATTTTCCTTGTTCTACTAAGAAAGTAAATAAAAACTTTTTCTCATTTTGAACTATTTGACCTGCAGCTTTCTCTTGGGGCAGTGGCTTCAATGCTGGTTCTCAAGCCCTCACAGAATCTTATCTATAATTATGTTAAGATAATTCCTGGGACCTAAAGCTCTTGTATCTTGCTAGCACACAACTTTCTCTTGCCTAGACTTGCTCTACGATTAGGAAACAATTGTCCCTCTTTGGGGAATCCTGCCTTATCCTCACCTTATCTATCCAGTGAAGGTTCTTATACAAACCTCCAAGCTGTCATCACTCCTTTCTTTTTCTGTGATTATACTTCATATGCCTTTGATACCTTCTAAGTAAGTTGCCCTAAAATTACTCACTTGCATGTCTATCTTCCCTACTATGTTGAAAGCTATTTGAGGGAATTTTGAGGGAATTTTTTTAAAGATGTATTTATTTATCTGAGAAAAAGAGAGAGAGAGAGAGAGAGAGAGAGAGAGGGAGAGGAGGGGGAAGGGCAGAGGGAGAAGGAGAGAAAGAATCCCAAGCACGACACAGGTTTTGATCTCACTGCCCTGAGTTCATAACCTGAGCTGAGTGGGACATTTAACCAAGTGAGCACCCAGGGGTCCCTAAATGGAACACTTCAAAAATGTACAGCTACAACTCTTTCCCCCACAGGTTTATAATGGACTCTCAGACTTTGCCAGGTAAAGCTACAATGGTTACAGAATCCTAAAGAACATAGCAGGAAAAAAAACACCCTTATTGAAACAAAGAGTGTTTTATGCACTGTTATACAGCAGGAGACATATAGGACTTTCTTTTCACATAGACAAGTATAAAAGACTGGTTTATATTTGTTGACTTAAGTATTCATACAGATACAGTATAACACATTCACCCATATGTGAATGGTACTATTACTCCGTTCAGAAAACAGTAGCTTAAATGAACCAGAATGGAACAGAATACAGACTCCTGGTCAGGCTATAGAGCTCCTGATCATACAGAGTTGGCAAAATCTTGTAAAGTCTCAGTAGTTATTCAGAGCATTGGTTCAAGGGAGAAATTAGGGCCTCCCAATGAACAGAGAGGATATGGATTACTATTACTATTGTTATTATTATCTTGAGCAAAACAAGGTCAAGCCTGGTTGAAATCAAATAAGCTTTTTAGTTCTTTTGGTGAGTCTAACCATTACACTAGGAATTACAGAGATTTCAAAAGAAGCAGAACTCATAAATAATCTGTACTCAAAGAATTTATAGAGATGTCAGAAACAAAGGCAAGCCATATAAGACAATATATATATAATTGAGTATCAAATTGTGTAGTTGGTCTTTAAGTGCCATGGGAGAACTGGAATGGGCACAGGTGAGAACTGAGCTGGACCAGTGATGGGTATAATTTGGATCAGGTAAGAGATAAGGCATGAGGGCATTATAGTGAGACTACATGATTAGCAAAAGCTATAATAACGCTAATGTTTACTGAGTACTCACTAAATACCAGGCAATTTGCATGCATTATTTCACCATCTGTAGAACAAGTCTGTGCCACAGGCGTCCCAAGTCAATAGCTATTAGTAAGAGGCCAACAGACCAAGGCCCAGGTCTGAGCCACTCCATAGTGGGACTCTTCCATGAGTCATGAAATGGACAGAGTGAATATGGGAGACAATTAGGCAAATGAGTTTGTACAGAGAATTGTATGCATAAAATACCATATAAAAAACTCCACTAGGCTAGGGGTCTGCCTTTTGTCCATCAAGTTATAAGGAACCAATGCAAGTTCTTTAGTGAAAGAGTGACAAAATGAAAATGACATTTTCAAGATATGAATTCCTCAAAAGTACGTAACATAAATACACAAAAATCAGTATGAATGATATAAACTCATTTTTGTTTAAGTATATTTTTAAACATATGCATAAAAATATCAGTAGTGGTGGGGCACCTGGGTGGCTCAGTCAGTTAAGTGTCTGCCTTTGGCTCAGGTTATGATCCTGGGTCTTAGGACCGAGCCCCATGATCGACCTCCCTGCTCAGTGAGGAGTCTGCTTCTCTTTCGTCTTCTACCCCTTCCCCTGCTTGTTCTCTTTCTCTCTCAAATAAATACATAAAATCTTTTTAAAAAAATCAATAGTGGTCATTTCTAGAGAACAGGGGTCTAATTTTTTATGGGTTTTTTTGTTTATGTCTGAATAATTTGCATTACTCTTTAAAAGAAAAATGAAATTATAAAATTAATTTAAAAATAGAAAAATAGGGGTGCCTGGATGCACAGTCCATTAGGCCTCCTACTCTTGGTTTCAGCTCAGGTCCTGATCTCAGGGTTGTGAGAACAAGCCCTGCACTGGGCTCCACACTCAGCAGAGTCTGCCTGAGATCTCTTTCTCCCTCTGCCCCTTCTCCCTGCTATCTCTCTCTAAATAATAAAATCCTTTTTAAAAATAAAAATAAATAAAAATAGGGGCACCTAGGTGGCTCAGTTGGTTAAGCATTTGACTCTTGATCTCAGCTTAGGTCTTGATCTCAGGGTCATGAGTTCAAGCCCTGTAGTGGGCTCCACGCTGGACATGAAGCCTACTTAAAAATATAAATAAAGGGCAGCCCAGGTGGCTCAGCGGTTTAGCGCTGCCTTCAGCCCAGGGTGTGATCCTGGAGACCCGGGATCCAGTCCCACGTCAGGCTCCCTGCATGGAGCCTGCTTCTCCCTCTGCCTGTGTCTCTGCCTCTCTCTCTGTCTCTCATGAATAAATAAATAAAATCTTTAATATATATATATAAAGGAAAAATAAAATCCCTATTTAGATTTTTTTTAAGTGTATTAACCCAGGGTGAAAGAGTTAAATTAACCAAGACAAATCCAGAAGCTGCAATAGATGAGTAGATAGAAGAGGGAGGACCTGCCTAAGGATGATGGCAGCTGAGACAGAAGACATATGAACACAAGAAAACAGTAGTAGTAAGCAATAGTTCCTAAACAAGTCCACTGATACCTAAAATAAATAAACTTACACTACATTATCAGTCCAAGAATAGATCAACACTCACATTATTCTGTAACATCCCGCAGCTACCTGACTCAGGGACATACTTACTATTGACTTTGTTTATATTGCCTTGAATTTCAGCTTGAGTGAGCAGCTCCTCATAAACATCCCTTTCTCTCTCAGAGTTTTCTGTCTGAAGATGAGTAAAAAGTGTAACAAATCAGTTCAGGTCTCTAAGAAGACCTAAGAAACACACTTGTATTCCTCCCCCAAACATGACAGAACAAAGAGTAAGTGTATGGCTTAAAATCCTTAATGAAGCACAGAGTGGAATGCTACACAACCTTTAACTAAAAATGTAAAAAGCAGATCCACCTATTAACGACAAGCCCAAGGGTGCTTCCAGAGTTGGGCATGAGCAGGAAGCACTGCTGAACCCTGTCCTGCTCCCTTGTAAGCTTGCATCCTTGCCTCAGACCTGAGCAGAACAGGCACACCCAAGAACCAGATCACAGAACTTCTCATTGGTTTGCACAAAATTCAAGGATAAAAGTTAAAATGGAATCAAATACCAAAGGCTATATACTGTGTAAATACATTTCGTTTATATATAATTCTTAAAAAGGTAAATATAGTGATCTGTTCAGATTGGGGATTGCCTGGGGTCAGGGTGGGAAGGAGGGGATGGGGAGCAGTAGAGGCTATGAAGAGAGACCTGGGGACTTTAGGGAGGATTGTTTTATAACCACACACATTTGTCAAAACCCATCAAACCCATACATGTAAAATGAGTAAATTTTACTGTATATAAATTATACTTCAAGAAAACTGATTTTAGGGGGATCCCTGGGTGGCTCAGTAGTTTAGTGCCTGCCTTTGGCCTAGGGTGTGATCTTGGAGTCCCGGGATTGAGTCTAGCATCAGGCTCCCTGCATGGAGCCTGCTTCTCCCTCTGCCTGTGTCTCTGCCTCTCTCTCTCTCTCTGTGTATCTCTCATGAATAAATAAATAAAATCTTAAAAAAAGAAAAAAGAAAACTGATTTTTAAAATGGAGTTATATCCAACAATGAAAGAATATAAATCAATTGAAAAGAACAGATGTTCCATTTTTACCCTGTTTTTAGCGTTTGTCATTTTCTCCTGCTTGGCCTCATAAAGCACATCCTGATAAGTGGATGCCAAGGGCTCTTCAAGATTTACAAGCATGGCGTTGGGATTTCTCAGAGCCACAAATGTGTCGGCTGGAATTCTATGGTCAATGGCCTCATTAATGGCAATAACGGCTGCATGTACTAAAAGAAAAAATTCAAAACATAGAACACTGGGGTTATACAGAGTAAGAGATTACATGACACATCCAGAACAACATCACAACCCCCTATTGCAGGAAAAGGTTTGTTTTGATAGAGAAATGATGACTGGGGTTAGAGGTATGGCTCCCCAAATCCTATAAGCCTAGTAGTCTCTTCCTAGATATACAAAGCCACAGCTCTCCCTGTGATCCCATGTCTGGGATGCTGAGTTTGGAATCTCACTGGGAAATATTAGTAAAGAGCCTTGTAAGGAGCATAAATGATGGACATGTTCACCTTTAATCATCATGTAAATACCATTAAAAAAAATAAGAAACCCAAAGGACACTGAAATGTATAACTCGCTTTCTAAATGCTTTCATTTTCATTGAAATCAATCACTTACTTCCAATAGCAATAGCACAGAAGTCCATTGCAGTGTTAAACTACCTCTATTGGCCTAAGTTTGCTAGCAAAATTCCTAGTGTCCAAGATCACTGAAAGTGGTAGCACCAATCCCATTTGAACCCACAAAATTTCTCTCTTCTTACATGCAGCTTCATCCACTGAGAGTTCATTGGCCAGGATGCCCCCGATCTTGCTGAAGGCAGGCATCTGGATCCCGTACTTCTCCAGTTCAATCTTCATATTGTTGATTTCCTCTTCTACAGGAAGAGAAAGATGAAGATTCAGGCAAGCAAGTTAAGCACCTTCCCAGAACTTAGAGAAGGAAACACATTCCCCAACTACAAAATGGGATGAAGTGGTGGCTACCTCCCAGGATTGAAGGACTTAATAAGAAGATATATGGAAAGCAATGAACATAGTACCTGGCAAAAAGCATACACTCAGTAGACATTATTATTACTATTAACAAGAGCATCAAAAGTAAATATAACATGAGAAACAGCCCTACAGAAAATAGTTTCTCAAAACTGCTACTTGCGGCATTTCCTACAACGAACTAACTAACTTATGAATGGAACAGCTTTGAAGGGAGCTCAGCAACAAGTGACCCACAAGCCAACCAAATGTCTTCAGATGCTAAGGTACTAGCCACTATTAAACTATTCTGCTTCAAAGGCAGGAAGCCAAATGATAAAACAACATGTAAGGTTTAGCCCTTGGCCCTAGGTCTAGTGAACAACTTCCCTAAAAGGAAAAATGTCATAGATAAAAGTTTTTATTAAATTTAAAGTTCCCAAGTCTACAAAATAATAATCAGTTCAAAAGACTTGAATCTATATTAGCTCCTAACCAGTATCACCACCATTTGTTTTCTCCCCAAGCCCCCACCTATTCAAGCATCTGACAGTAACAAACACACACAGAATAAGGTAAATACACATTTTTTTATTAAATTGTCACCTCTGCATTGTCTCATTCCCCCCCTACACACCCCTTACTTTGCTCACTGTTGGTACTTGCTAAAATGAGAAAACAGAGTTTGAAATTCCCAGTTTAGCACTCTATTCAACACAGAAGTTACTTATACTTCTTTGATCTCTTTTGCCAGAGTATTTTTAAACCCCTATGTCTTTAAGATTGGAACTGTTGACTCTCCAGGCTATTTCCACATAAATCAAGCATTTCCTGCCAAGTTTATAACTCCTTACCTGTGAAGTCAACCTTTCCATATAGGTCTTGAATCTGAGGAGCCAGGCCTAGTTTGAACAGGTACAAACTAGAAGACACGATATGCAAAAAGAGTTAGGCCGCCCAGCTGCACCTAGCCGCTGCTCTTAGGTTAAAGGGGAAAGTCAGTATAAAGAACAGAAACATTCTGAACATATCCCTGAATGCTACCATATTCCCCTTTGCAGTTACCATACTTTACCTCAGGACTTTTTCTGAGTTTTACAAAATATTGTCCTAGAAAGTCACATAATGCAATAAACACTGGACTGGGAATCAGAAGACACAAGTTCAAGTCCTTGTTCTGGTTTAAATCTGGCATGTAATTAGATGGTAATATACATGTGAATATAATCATTCTAAGTGGAGAAATCTTCAGTCTCGTTCTCCTTCCTGTGATCAAAAAGCTTTAACTAACAAGATACTTATAAAAGTACCGTGAAAATGATTCAAGGGATGCCTGGGTGACTCAGTAGTTGAGCGTCTGCCTTTGGCTCAGGTTGTGATCCTGGGGTCCTGGGATTGAGTCCCACATCGGGCTCCCTATAGGGAGGCTGCTTCTCCCTTTGCCTATGTCTCTGCCTCTCTCTGTGTGTCTCTCATGAATAAATAAAATCTTTAAAGGGGCAGCCCCGGTGGCTCAGCGGTTTAGCCCGCCTACAGCTCAGGGCGTGATCCTGGAGACCCAGGATAGAGTCCCACGTTGGGCTCCCTGCATGGAGCCTGCTTCTCTCTCTGCCTGTGTCTCTGCCTCTCTCTCTCCTCTCTGTGTATTCTCATGAATAAATAAATAAAATCTTTAAAAAAATAATAAAATAACATAAAATAAAATAAAATAAAATCTTTTAAAAAAAGAAAAAAAATGATTCCAAAAAAAGTCTATGTAAACTGAATTCATACTACTGATGGAAAAGTTTAATTCAGGTAATTAATGATTTTTAAATAAACATTATATATCCTTACTGTTTAAATAAAAAAAAAGAAATCTATTTGGCTTTAAATCTCATGAAGGAAGGAACAATAAAAGTCTTGTTCACCAGTGTCTACCCAAAACCTGGTATGTACTAATAAATATTAATGTTTCACAGATGGAGAGATGGATTAGTCAATGTCTATAAGCCTGAGTTAGCTTAAGTGGAATCTAAGGACCTAGCAGATCAGAATCAGTAAGTTAGAAGTGCACTTTGCAGGGAAGGACATGAGCAAGACACTGATGGTCTAGTGGTAAGGGAGTAAATAAAAAACACCGAAGAAACAAATCACAGAAACTCAATAGAGCAATCCACAGTTTTTGCAAATAATCTATAAACCTCAGCTTTATCTAAACACAAATATGGATCATGTATATTACATTCACAGAACTGATCAGAATTTCAATTGTGTATAATAAACCCAAATGTATAATCCAAAAACAAGTCAAGTATTCTAAAAATACATTCTGATTTATACAGAGTAGCTAATTATTTTCTCAGTTAAGTACAAGTATGATCATATGCATATGATTAAGTGCTTTTATTAAGACTAAAATACTCAAAATGGAACTATATAAAGTCCCCCTCAAAAATTTTTTAATCTATTCAACAAATTTTCCAAAGCAAAATAGCCAATAACATTCTATACCTGTAATATGTACCCATTCCATATATTATTTCTCCCATATAGTATGTCCCACACCTGCATTCCAAATTAATAAGAATAGTTTTCTTCAGTAATTTTTTCCTCTTTTATTTCTTCTTGGAATGAAGAAAGTGGCTGCCGCACTTTAAGAAATTTTAAGAATGGCACTTTTAGAGCCTCAAGAAGAGTGAGTTCATTTTTAAGGTCTTTCAATGGTAAAATAAAGTAATGATATCACTAGCTGATATAAATAGAGAAAAAGATAAGATACTGGCACCATCTCTCTTTTATATCATTTTAATTATTGGGAATATTTTAAGGAAATGTTGGAGTTATATAAACATAACCATAATGGCCAGTCAGATCCTCTTGCCCAGAACTGAAAGTACTCCACCTCAAAGCTGAAACTTTAGATCCTACCAGTAAACAATCTTTGCTCTTGTTTTCCCATGCCCACCTCTACAAATAACTGTTAGGTCCCTACAACAGTAAACCTGTGATTGAGATCAGGTTCATTTTTCTTCTTCTTTTTTCCTAGCAAAGCTATACTTTCTAGCAACAGGGGAAAGGAGGCTATGGATTCCTATTATCTTTGCTGCCCTCAGAGTAACCTGTTACTATGCTGATCTCAAAGACTGTTAATAAGGGCTCTTAAACACAAACGCAACAGGTGCTTAGGAAAGAGAATCTAGTACAGTCCACAATCCCTGATCTAAATTCTTTGGGCAGATACGAATTTAGGATTCCTCAGATATTAGAAAGGCTTTATAGTATACACAGAATTACATGACATCTGTTTACTTAAAGTATGTACAGTATTATAAAACACACCCAGCAAGCCTTGAGGCAGCACCCCTAAACAATTACCTTTTTTTTGTTTTAAGATTTATTTATTTATTCATGAGAGACACACAGAGAGAGAGAGAGAGAGAGGCAGAGACACAGGCAGAGGGAGAAGCAGGCTCCATGCAGGGAGCCTGACGTGGGACTTGATCCTGGGACTCTAGGATCATGCCTTGGGCCGAAGGCAGGCACTAAACCACTGTGCCACCCAGGGATCCCCAAGTACATTACTATTCTGCAAAGGAACATACATATAATCACAGTAAGGACAGAAATATTCTAAATAACATCAATTCTGATCAGATTTTGCGAACAAATGAGTTTGAACCAAGTCTAAATATAATTTTCAGCTTTTACATTTCTTTTGAATTTAGGATACAGGACTATGGGCCAATTTAATCCCAAAATCAATTCTTAGATATCAGAGGAAATGGAAATAAAGTATACAAATACATGTGAAATAATAAAGAATTGTGGTCGGGACGCCTGGGTGGCTCAGCAGTTGGGCATCTCCTTTCGGCTCAGGGCGTGATCCTGGGATCTGGGATTGAGTCCCTCATCAGGCTCCTTACAGGGAGCCTGCTTCTCCCTCTGCCTGGGTCTCTGCCTCTCTGTGTCTCTCTCTCATGAATAAATAAATAAAATCTTAAAAAAAAAAAAAAAAGAATTGAGGTCTTCTCTGGGGGTGGAATATAATCCAGAAAAATAATTTAGCAAGACTAAATACAGTAAATATCTCTGCAATGATGCCGGTCAAGACTTTTAAAAAGAGAGAAAAAAGAAAAGAGAAAACCAAAGCAAACAAGCAGGAAGGGAGAAAACAGAGAGATAATGCTTCTCTGTTAACCAAAATCAAAAAGGGAGAAAGTGCCTCACCCCACCCACTCCACACACAGCAGAGTGTGGAGCCGTCCTCGATCACTGCTGTACTACATGGTGAAGAAGAGGTTCCAAGCAGGTCTAAACTGCCTAGATATCAAGGGCTGCCAGCCTTTAAGGAAAAACACTCCACTCAAAAAAAAAAAAACAAAACAAAACAAAAAAAAAAAAAACTCCAGGAAGGAAAGAAGTCATAAATCACCAACCAGAACACATTGCTCTGTATATAACTTTTTTTTTTAAGATTTATTTAGTTATTTATTTACAATAGACATAGAGAGAGGCAGAGACACAGGCAGAGGGAGAAGCAGGCTCCATGCCAGGAGCCCGATGTGGGACTCGATCCCGGGACTCCAGGATCGCGCCCTGGGCCAAAGGCAGGCACTAAACCGTTGAGCCACCCAGGGATCCCCGCTCTGTATATAATTTCTAAGCACAGGTTGCATATTAAAGAGAAATGAAAAACAATAGTGGACTTTCTCTTTCTGATTCTGACGCCATCGTGAGAAAGGCACAGTTAATTCTTCATCTCCAAATCAGAGAATTTGAGGGCCTGGGAGCCAGGTCACATTGCAGAGAGCTATGGCTGTGGAACACACAAAGTGGAGTTTCACCAGCTAGGCCTCTTGTCTGCCAAGTTCAGAAATCCATTGTAGGTATAACCTTCACAAGGTTATCAATTCAGACAGACCTCACTGTAACACAGAGCCAATCACAATATTCAGAATTAATCTGATTTTGGCTCAGACACATACATTTGAAATTGCTACAATCTGAACATTCCTCTAGATACAACCCACTCCTAAATAACTTTTAAAAATCCTAAAAAAAAAAAAAAATCCTTATGTTACTCTTGTCTGACATTATGCCATGTACCTTAGAGAGAAGAAAAAGAAATGAAAGGCATGACCTCTGTCCCTAAGATGCTAATAATATAATAAAGAGAAAGTAAACATATGAAAGAAACAATAGAACTAAGAAACATGTGGGTTTAGACCAAGGAATGAACTGGAGTCACTGGAAATCACAAAAGTTCACCAAGAAGGTGGAAATTGAATTAAAACTTGACTGGATATAGACACAAACATGAAGTGTCACCTGATAAAAGAAAGCACCATTTCCTTTTTTTCATTTATAGGGCAAAAAATATCCCTTCAAGCTAGAGGGCAGAAAGGAAGATTTGTTACAATGTGTGATTTTGATACAAACATTTATTGACTAGCTACTATATTGCTAGAGGCATCTAAGTACTAGAGACACAAAGATAAAGAGTAACAGAAATAGGCCCTGCCTGGGAGGAGTCCACAGAGAGCATGCAATAAGAACTAATAACCAGAGTAGGATGTAAAAGCCCTATGCTTGAAGTAAGAGGTATGTGCAAATACCAGAAGAGCACAAGGATGGGAAGTAGCTAATTCTATTTGAGGGAGAAAAAGTAAAAAGAAGGTATCAGTGAACAGGTAGCATTCCACAGTAGCAGCTAGAGAAGAGCATGGGTCAAACTAGGGAGTAAAGCGGCATTTAGGCAGCGGAAACAGAATAACCCAAGGCACAGAGCCAGTGCTGTCCACTAGTTTTCAGCTACATTCTTTCTTTTGTGGGTCTCACATGAATTCCAGGGGTCCCAACGATCTGGCACATGTTGGATCAAACTGGAGACAACAGACTTCTCATGGGTCAATATTATTCATATAGATAATTAACATGTACACATACAGGATGACTTGTAAAATGGGTAGCCTGAGCAAAGAAACCCCATCTGCATGTCCCGCTTACTTCTACCACCTTCTCGTTTAGCCCTATGGCCATCAGGTAAATCTGTACAACTCTGATATGGTTCTATCATATCTACTGAACCCCACCCTCCCTCCACACACATCACCTCTTCCTTCCAATACAGTACACTGATTTTAAGAGCCAAGGACCTGAAATTAAACCATCTTCAAAATCTGCTATGAAATTATGAAAAAAATATATTTTGTTTCAGTTCCTATTTATATTTGTTTGGCATAAACATTACCTAATGAACAAATGGCTTGGTGAGAGCCTAGAAAAACCAAATAAATTAAAAATCAACCATTTGATATTTGCTGGCTTTATTTGAAGATTTTTATAAAATTTAATCATACTACCAAAGTATTAAGACATGGTGGTTGTGGGGAGCCCCGGTGGCTCGGCGGTTTAGCGTCACCTACAGCTCAGGGCGTGATCCTGGAGACCTGGGATCGAGTCCCATGTCAGGCTCCCTGCATGGAGCCTGCTTCTTCCTCTGCCTGTGTCTCTGCCTCTCTCTCTCTCTCCTGTGTATTCTCATGAATAAATAAATAAAATCTTAAAAAAAAAAAAAAGACATGGTGGTTGTATTTTGTAATTCAACTACTGGCTTGTGACAAAACAGTAAAGTTTCAAAATATATATCCTTTTTGTAATTTTTAAGAAATTTGAATTAAAAAGAAAGGAACTGCATCCCAGCTGAAATGCACAGTTCACAGAAACACTAGATCAACAATGAAAGACTATACTATGTTTTCAGGGCCAAATTATCTGCTATTACTGAGATAAATAAATTCCTTCTCCCTACTCCCCAGAAAAAAACAGCTGTTTCCCACCATTTTGTTAAAACAATAATAATCGGGATCCCGGGGTGGCGCAGCGGTTTAGCGCCTGCGTTTGGCCCAGGGCGCGATCCTGGAGACCCGGGATTGAATCCCACGTCGGGCTCCCGGTGCATGGAGCCTGCTTCTCCCTCTGCCTGTGTCTCTGCCTCTCTCTCTCTCTGTGTGTGTGACTATCATAAATAAAAAAATAAAAAAAAAAGACAATAATAATCTATTTTATTTGGAAATCCTAAAGCTAATGCAAAAACTTTTTCATTACCCCATACACAAAAAGCTGTACATTCAATTCAGATGTTATTCCTAAATGGCTTTTTAAAAAAATTGAGATAGAATTGACAAACATTAGTTTCAGGTGTACAACATAATGATTCAATATACATATATATTGCAAAATGATCACCTCAATAAGTCTCCTTAACATCCACCACCACACATAATTATGGATTTTTTTTTCCTTGTGCTAAGAAACTTTTTAAAATATATGTTTATTTAATTGAGAGAGAGAGAGAGAGAAAGAGCTTGAGTGGGACAAGAGGAGAGGCAGAGGGAGATAGAGAAAGCAGACTACCCTTGAGTGGGGAGCCTGATGTGGGCTCAATCCCAAGACCTTGAGATCATGACCTGAGCTGAAACCAAAAATTGGATGCTGAACTGACTGAGCCACCCAGGTGTCCCATGCTGAGAACTTTTAAGATCTACTCTCTTAGCAACTTTTTTTTTTTTTTTTTTTTTTTTTATTTACGATAGTCATACAGAGAGAGAGAGAGAGGCAGAGACACAGGCAGAGGGAGAAGCAGGCTCCATGCACCAGGAGCCCGACGTGGGATTCGATCCCGGGTCTCCAGGATCGCGCCCTGGGCCAAAGGCAGGCGCCAAACCGCTGCGCCACCCAGGGATCCCTCTTAGCAACTTTCAAGCATAAGGCTACATCATTATTAACTAAAACCCCCATGCAGTACATTATAATCCCAGGACTTAGTTAACTATTTTATAGCTGGAAGTCTGTAATGTTTGAGCTCCTTAAACCATTTTGTCGTCCCCCCCCCCCCAAACCTCCACCTCTGGCAACTCAGCAATCTGTTCTCTGTGTCTATGTACACTGTTTATTTTACCACGAATATCTGATTACCTGAGTGCATGGATACAGTAGATACATCTTGGCATGTTTTTTCGATCATAGATATCTGTAGTTTCTGGGTAAAAAATCTAAGAAGGAATAAAAGAAGCACAGTAAGGTATCCATCCACTGGATCTTTCACCAATCATCAATAATATAAATAGAACGATTAGAAAATATTATGAGCATTCAGCAAGTAACTTCATTAGGGAGAACTGACAATTCATCCTAAGTAATGCAAGGAATAAAATACGGTAATACAGAATAAAAAGCACTAGTTGGAAAAGCCTTATTTGGTTAACCCACTGAATTTTACCAGGTATGTGAAAGTGATTTGCTTACTGCAGACTCAGATACAGGCAGATGACACTCAGCTCTAGTGCAGTTTAAATCACCAGTAAATGTTGGAAACTTTAAAGCCCTGCAATCTTCCCAATTCCTGTCTATGATGCCTACATTCATTAATAATTCAACAATGAACATTTACTTAGGTGCTTTCGGTTTGTTAACTCCTACATTTAGACACTGAAGAAAACTACAAAATATTATAATGTGTTATTGTGCAGGGATGCTTGGCTGGTTCATTTGGTGGAGTGTACAACTCAATCTCCAGGCTGTAAGTTCAAGCCCCACAATAGGTATAGAGATTACTTAAAATCTTTTTTAAAAATGTGTTACATGCTTAGAAGAAGAGAAAAGATACACAGATGAAGTAGCTAGAATATATAATATGTATGGGAATATGGAAGATCAGTAGTTATTCTGGGTACCACTTGCCACAAATAATCAATTACTTGTGTTATTATCTGTTTGACTACACACTACATGAAGGCAGGGACCAGGTCTATGCAATTCACTGCCACATCTTCAATGCCAAGCCCACAGCCAAGGTCATGGAAGGGGCTCTACATTTAATGAATTAGTGAATGAGGCTGAATAGCAACATAGTAGGTTTAGATTGGATATAATCTTGAATTTCAAGATCTATCTTCATGGTGATGTGGCACCATACAATTCATTCTATAATTTAGGGGGAGGTAACAGTGATCTGGAGAAGGGAAAGACTGAATTTTGAGGCCATCAGAAGAATCTGAATGAGCAGGGAAAGGCCTTAACCAAGGCAGGAGGAAGAGTACCACAGCACGTTGTACCTATTAGAGTCCTTGACACATCATGTTTGTTTGTACCACAGCACCTTGTACCTATTAGAGTCCTTGACACATCATGTTTGTTTGTTTTCATGCTTTTCACACAATACCTACAGCTCTTGACTAGAAAGAATTGCCCCTGTCAAGAGATGAGATGTACTATAATCATCTTCTTGATAATTTTTCAAACTCTGCATGCTCACTTTTCAAGACAGATATGTAATTTCCTGAAGGGTGAAGATAACAGTTGTGTTGAGCCACCCTTCCCAAAAACAGTACAGAATACATTTTAGAAAATAACAAAAATACAGCTGGGTAGGGTAGGATGCAATTAGATTATGAGGACCTTGAAAGTCAGACAAGTTTGAACTTGATATGCAGGCCACAGAGAAGTCCCAGCTCTGAAGCCAAGGATAAAAAACAGCGCCTCAGGAAGATCTGACTGGAGATAGGACACAGGATATAATGAATAGTGGAGAAATTGAAGCTAAGGAGGCAGACTGATAATCTCTTTCAACAGACAAAAGAAACATTTCAAATACATGAGGGAGGCTTGGGGGATAAGTGCATTTAGGAGTTCAAGGTAACCTCAAGATTTTGAGACGGGATGACTGGGGAAATGAGGACAGCCTACCATTTAGTATAGAGGAGGGGAGGTTCAGTTGGGGGAAAAGGAAGGTTTACTTTCAGATAGGAATTCTAGCTAATAGAAAGCTAATCAAGGAGAACTGTCCAGCAGCCATTTGAATACAATGTGTTTATCTTATAAGAAAGCCTTCAAAATAACTGAAACCATAAGAACAAGAATGTAGCTAAAATAAGGACTGCTTCTTAAAGAACCCCCACCACTAGGATATGGGAGTTCTAGAACACATGAGGAAGACAGAGGACAGATTTAAAACAATGAAAAAATTGGGGATCCCTGGGTGGCTCAGCGGTTTGGCGCCTGCCTTTGGCCCAGGGCGTAGTCCTAGGGTCTCGGGATCGAGTCCCATGTCGGGCTCCCTGCATGGAGCCTGTTTCTCCCTCTGCCTGTGTCTCTGTCTCTCATGAATAAATTATAAATTATAAACACACACACACACACACACACACAATGAAAAAAATCAGTCAGGGGGTGCCTGGCTGGCTGAGTCAAGAGAGCAGATGAATCTTGATTTCGCGGTTATGAGTTCAAGCCCCATATTGGGTGTAAAGATTACTTAGAAATAAAATCTTTAAAAAAAAAAAAAGTCAAAATCACAAAATATTTCCTAGAGAGGTAGGTAGCCAACAGGAACAATTATAATAAAAAGACTAAAAGGATAAGAATCAAAAACTTATAACATTAAGTTCCTACAATTAGCCTATATGTACCATATTAAGAGATTAGGGAAGGCATTCCTGTAAACACTACATATGTATTGTCAATTATATATCATACAGTATATTATGGGCAACAGTTTTTCAGCTAAGTATCATTAGTCCACATTATTCAAGTCTTCTAGATCTAAGTCATGTAGGGTGGACATTTCAAGTCTGATAACCATGATAACCCTGCTGTCCCTGAAAGTCTGGGGAATTCTACATTTGTTGCAGTGGTGATCCAGGACAATATATTACCAGTAGTAAACCAAAAAAGTAGTAAAATTAAATCATTAAAAAAGCATTTTGTAGTAACAATACTACTAGTAAAAGCATATATTAATGAAGCTCTTAGTATTATTCAGAAGAGGTTAAATCACCACTGCCCATCAGGCATATTTCAGTAGAAACAGAAGACGGGACGCCTGGGTGGCTCAGTGGTTGATCATCTACCTTAGGCTCAGGTCATGATCCTGGGGTCCTGGGATTGAGTCCCACATCGGGCTCCCTGCACGGATCCTGCTTCTCCCTCTGCCTATGTCTCTGCCTCTCTCTGTGTGTCTCTCATGAATAAATAAAAATAATAAAAAGAAACAGGTACAAAAAGATATAGGTGCACAGAAAGGCAAAGTATGTTTAAGAACTTTACATACTGGGGATCCCTGAGTGGCTCAGCAGTTTAGCACCTGCCTTCCACCCAGGGCGTGATCCTGGAGTCCCAGGACCGAGGCTCAAATCGAGCTCCCTACATGGAGCCTGCTTCTCCCTCTGCCTGTTGTGTCTCTGCTTCTATCTCTCTCTCTGTGTCTCTCATGAATAAATAAATAAAATCTTAAAAAAAAAAAAAAAAGAACTTGACATACTGCATTTCCTGACATTGGTGGACCTAATTCTCAAACCTACCAGTGCAAGGAAGAGAGCTTCAGAACTTTGTTCTGAAAAAAAAAAAAAGAGGACAAAGGCTAGTCTTCTGCAAAGACTTGACTCTGGATTTAACTCAATTCAAAAACACATATGAAGAATTGAGGTTGGTGCTATGCTGAATACCAAATGTTCATCTCCCAGTGGTTCCAGCCACTTTGTGATCCTCCTTATCTCACTCTTTTTCAGTATTTCTTTGGTTACAAAAATTTAGACTCTACAGGAAAATATAAAGAAAATAAAAACCACCCCTTAATCCGATCACACCAAAATAAAAACTATTATCTCCTTACCAACTTTTCCCAAAAATATTCACTTTTACACATAAAAATAGCAATCTCACCTTAGCCAGAACACAAACTCTTTTATAACTTTAGCCTATTTGGAGTTTTATTCTCCACTGCACACCTCACAGACAATTTCCTTTGTCAATACAGATTAAAATCATCCTTTCTAATGGCTGTACTATTGTTTGACTGGCTGCAGCACAATTAATGCTCCTAGTGAAGGAACATGTGATCGTTATCAATTTTTCCTATCCTAAGCCATGCTGAAAAACCCTTATGTGTCCATCTTTCCGGGCTTATCTGATTTGGGGGAGAGATAAATTCCTAGAAGTAGAATCCTTAGGTCAAAGGATATGGAAAACAAAAAAGGTGTCCATGCCTCTAAGAGTTGACAACACAGTATGGCCTTCTGGATTCAAGATAGGATGAAGGGGTGTGGAGGCTAGAGGTGGCAATTTCGGTAAGAGCAGTGCTAAATAAACTCCTAAGCAGAACACTCAAGGATGCACACTCACTCTAAACCCATCCAACTATACACATGAAATATGTGCATTTCTCCATGCCAACTGTACCTCAAGATGTTTTAAAACACAAATACTACAGCCATCACCAAAACAAGATATAAAAAGTAAATGTCATTATATTGCCTCTACAATTTGAAACATAAAATAATAGCACATCATGCTCTCTTACAGATAGAGGAGAACTCTGCAGCTGAAAAATGATGTTTCTAAAATATTTCCTGGGATCCCTGGGTGGCTCAGCAGTTCAGCACCTGCCTCCCTCTGCCTGTGTCTCTGTCTCTGTCTCTCTCTCTCTATCATGAATAAATAAAATCTTTTAAAAATAAAGTATTTCCTTGTATTTCCTAACATCAAATATTAATATTGCAACTTTGTGACTAAATAAGAACACTAAATTGTATACTTTTAAAAGGTGGATTTCAAAAAAAATTTTTTTTTAAGTAAAAAGGTGGATTTCATGGCATGTGAATTTCAATATAAGTCTACAACTTGATGTAGTAAATGACATCATAGGGAATTTCTCTAGGATGAGGTGAAGCAGGGATGAAGAATATAAAAGAAAGAACAAAACTATTCCTAAAACAAACAGAAGAAATAGATCTTTTAGGACTTAAAAAAAAAAAAGAAAAAAGAAAACCACCAAAGATTCAATTGAGAATAATTTTTTTTTAAAGATTTTATTCATTTATTCATGAGAGAAACACACGGGAGGGTGGGGGGGGGTGGGCAGAGACACAGGCAGAGGGAGAAGCAGGCTCCATGCAGGGAACCTGATGTGGGACTTGACCCCGGGTCTCCAGGATCACACCCTGGGTGGAAGGCAGCGCTAAACCGCTGAGCCACCCGGGCTGCCCTCAATTGAGAATAATTTTACAGGCAGAATAACTATGTGCCAAAACAGCCTGATCTAAGCCAGAACTCTGAATATCACGTAAGTTACCTTAGGCAATCCAATCTCATCCATGGCATTCAACCACTGAATCACATTATCAGTATGTCTAAAGTGCAGGCCGGTTGCCTAGAACAAATAAGAGACAATTAGGCACTGTTGGCAACATTGAAGCAATACTAAATACTCTTTTTGCAACAAAAGTTTCCTTATGAGACTTTGCAAGGTCCCCTTAAATTGAAGGTCTATAGCATCATGTTCACATTCCAATCCTAAAAAGCCAAATCCACATCTCAGCTCCTCTCACTTGAGAACCATCTGGAGAATCTTCCTGTATAATGAGCTCTACAGAACAGTCTTTGGAATTCAATTATGCTGGATTCAATCCCTGGCTTGGCCATCTACTGGTGACAGTGGGCAGGTCACTTCACCTTTTTGAATTTCCTCATCTTTAACACCTACTTTATATGTTTATTGTAAAGATGAAGTGGGAAAACATACAAAAGCAGCCAGTGTGGTATCTGGCAGGTAGAAAATACTCACAAACTAACAGATATTATTAAGTATGTTAATCAGGGTTTTCTTAGTACCACTCACATAAATATCCCCCCCTCTAAACCTCTAGATTTGTTATCTTACAGAAAGATTTACTCTCCAGAGGGGAAGAGGGGCAGGGCCATTGTTTCTATTGCCATGCAGTCTCCACTCTTGTTTTAAATGTCATGTTGTTTGAGATGCCTGGGTGGCTCAGTCAGCTAAGCATCCAACCCTAGGTTTTGGTTCAGGTCATGATCCCGGAGTCATGGGATCAAGCCCTGTACTGGGCTCCACACTCAGTGGGGAGTCTGCTTGAGATTCTCTCGCCCTCTGTGGCTCCCTCCTGTTCATGCTAGCATGCACTATCTCTCCCTCTCTCTCTAAAAATAAGTAAATCTTTTTAAATGAACGAATGTCTTACTGTTCTGCCCCATACTGTATAGTGCTCAACAGAAGAGCTCCAGAATTGCCTTCAGAAAAGGAAAGTTTCTCTTTGGGATGTTAATTTTGGTTTCAGGACCTATATCTTCTCCCTGTCCTTTGAATATAGACATAAAACATAAAAACTTCTTTTGATTCTATCTTCATCCTTAGCTCATTTCAAGTTCTGGTCCCACTCCTACAGTTACCTCGATTACAGCTGCTCTTGGTTTTGTAATCTCTCACTATCTTTTACGTTCTTCCTTTTCTAAATAGCTCCTCCTAGGAAAGCTCCTCCACAACAGAGTTTGGTCCTTGTCAACATCCCAACTTGATTTCTGTTTTTCATGGCTCTGGGCCACAAGAATCAAAGCCTCTCACTTACCTTGATTTCCTGAAATTGGATTGCTTTCTCAATTTACCTTGAATTCTAGTATCACAGAGGGGTCTTTTTTCCTAAAGGTGTGTTGCTATTGCTTTCAATTTGTCAACAAATCTCATTGCTTGGTTAAAATTGAAATTGTAATTCCCCCTAGTTACTTCCTCCATCTTCCTTTTTTTTTTTTTTTTTTTTTACTTCCTCCATCTTCTAAGAAATTTTAAAAAATTCATCAAGGACCATGAATATTTCTAGACCTACCTACACCATTACAGAAATTGTATCAACAATACAGACTGCCACCTTTTAATGCCATGCCTGACTTTGCACTCTCTTCTCCACTCTGCCAGGTACTTTATTTTGCTAGAACAAATACATTCACACATATTTCTCAATAATTCTTATACAGGGTAAGTCCACTAATCTTCTCTTCTAAGTGTATGGAAATTTAAGCACCAAGCAAGGAAGGACTCACCTTGTATCTGGTCTGCTCTCGATCGTAAATTTTCTTCAGGGACACCACTTTGGGAGAGAAGAAGTTTCCTAGTTTGGCAAGGTAGACCCCATTCCTAAGCCCCTCTTCCAGTTCTGTGGTAGGAGGCAGGTCTTCCCCGAGACATGCTTCCATCCACCTGCAAGAAAGGGAGAGGACTTGAGAAGAGAGGGAAGGTCTGATCCCCTCCTTAAGAGATTCTGAGCTTCATTTCCATTCTCCATGGAGGAGCTTAAGTTCCACATAAGCAGTGCTTTTTTTTTTTTTTTAAGATTTTATCCATTTATTCATGAGAGACACAGAGAGAAAGAGAGAGAGAAAGGCAGAGACACAGGCAGAGGGAGAAGTAGGCTCCATCAGGAGCCCCACGTGGGACTCAATCCCGGCACTCCAGGATCACACCCTGGGCCAAAGGCGGGCGCTAAACCGCTGAGCCACCCATGTTGCCTGCAGTGCTCTTTTAAGGTGCAATTTCACACATATCCTTGTCCTGACCCAGTCCGATCTCAGAAGCAAGGAACTCAGAAAAACTCTGGAACATCAAGGCCTCCTTCTTCTCTACCCTGCTTTCTGCCCCTGAGCCAGCAGAGCTGGCTGGTTCCCCCGGCCCCAACAGCCCAGAAACCTCAGGCCCTAACCCCAAGTTACTCCTGCAGAAGCCCTAAGAATAGTCATTTGTGGCTGAAGCCAGAATTTCAGCTTTTCAAAAATTTAAATATATTGATGTTCTCCTCCAGTTTCAGAATCCACAGTGAATTTCTAGGTTCAGATTTTAAGGTTGTTTGGGGATTGCATGAATAGTCAATTATCTCAGTTAAAATAGGGGGAAAAAATGCCAATGGAATCAGTAAAAATGAATGCATTTTTTTTTCAGAGGTGGAGAAAGAGATTATAAAGGGGAAAGGAAAAGAAAACTATTTTCTCCCTAGAACACATCTCAAGAGATTTCAGAAGGCCCAAGATAAAACAACACAATCTGCACATATTTTCTACCAACAGAAATGGAGGTAACTAAAAATCATTTAAGGTGATGAGTTTGTTTTTTTTTTTTTTTAAGATTTTATTTATTTACTAGAGAGAGCGAGAGAGCAGGAAGGGGGGGGGGAGGGCAGAAAGTGAAGTAAAAGAATCCCAACTGAGCAGGGAACCTCCTGAGATCGTGACCTGAGCATGACCCTTAACCAACTGAGCCACCCAAACCTACCCCAAGGCGATGTATTTTTTTTTAATTTTATCTATTTATTCATGAGACACACAGAGAGAGGCAGAGATACAGGAAGAGGGAGAAGCAGACTCTCCGCAGGAGCCCAATGCAGGGCTCAATCCCAGGCCCTGGGATCACGACCTGGGCCTAAGGCAGACACTCAACTTCTGAGCCACCTAGGCGCCCCATGGCGATGATTTTTTAAACTATTTTTTAAGTCGCAGCATCCTTTGAGTATCTAAAGAAATCCTTCCCCAGAAAAATGTACATATACTGAAATTTAATATATAATTTCAGGGGCACCCGGGTGGCTCAATCAGTTAAGCATCCGACTCTTGGTTTTAGCTCAAGTCTTGAATATCAGGGCTGTGAGATCAAGCCCCATGTCCAGCTCCATGAAGAGTCTACTTGGGATTCTCTCTCTTAAATAAAAAATAAATAAAATCTTTAAAAAATATGTAATTTCAGAGATTTCACTGGCTCCATATTAAAAATCCCTAATTTAAAATTATTCTACTTGGGATGCCTGCCTGGTTCAGAATATGCATGGAGCTTACTTTCATTTATTTGATTTTCTTCTTAGTCCCAAATCCAAGATTTCTGATTCAAATCAATTTTTATATCTTAGTAAAGTTTTTGAGTTTTCCTCACATTTCTTAAGACACTGTTTTGGTAGTTTATTATTTATTTTTTTGTTTTTGTTTTTGTGATTTTGTTCCTTTTCTCATTTTTTTTCTTTTTTAAGTAGGCTCCATGCCCAATGTGGGGCTTGAACTCATGACCCTGAGATCCAGAGTCACATGCTTCCCTGACTGAGCCAACCAGGCACCCCCCCTTACTTTTATTTATATAAGAATAAATAAATACACACACACACACGTGTGAGTGCATGCGTGCCTACGTGTGTATGTGTGTATTATTCTACTCAAATTTCACACATTCTTTACCATACTGTTAAAAAACTCCCCAAACACTAGATGTTGCCTGGTCTATTTTACTAGTGTTAAATCTGTGAAAAGACAAATGAAAAAAAACTGAAAAGATACAGCTGAATGAAGTAAAAACTGGATTTACCACCGAGTAGGACAACATAAAAAGGAAACATTTATAATGTTCATTGATACACAGAAGCTTGAATTAAAAGGCAAATAAAACTGGAAGAAATATTTAACTATGCCATATTTTATAGACACAACATATATATCCATGAAAATTTACATGAAAACACTAACATTAATAGGAAAACAAGCCAGATAATATGTACATGTATTTCTGATCCCATTTATGCATTTATGTAATTCTTTTTTTTTAAGATTTTATTTATTCATAGAGAGAGAGAGGGGGGCGGGGGCAGAGACACAGGCAGAGGGAGAAGCAGGCATCATACAGAGAGCCTGACGTGGGACTCATCCAGGGTCTCCAGGATCAGGCCCTGGGCTGCAGGCGGCGCTAAACCGCTGCACCGCTGCACCACCGGGGCTGCCCCATTTATGTAATTCTTATTCATAAAATTGCTTGAAGGATATACAATAGAGCCCTTCAATTTTTTATTGCTAAAAGGAATATGGCCAACAGCTCCTGGCAACCCTGGCTCTCAGGGGACAGTCTAACTTGTGCTCTCATTAACAGAAACAAACCTAGAACAACTGTAGTGTAAGCTAAAAACAGCCCTTTACCATATAATGGTATGAGGAAAAAAATTACTTTCTCTTCAAAACAAGGTAAACACATAGGGAAGACAATGAATAAACAGCACAGTGCATGCTTTTGCCTTGAAAACAGAGCTAGTTACCAAAGATGTTTCGGTTCACCTCTGAGATTACTACATCAAAATCAAAGTAAAAGGAATGCCTGCATCAACATCTCCCACAAGCCTCTATCCTCGCCTTCCCTACACAAACTGCTGGAAAACAATCCCCATTAACAAGCTAGATTTAAAATACCTTGCACATCACAGAAATGTTGGGCCAGAAGAGCCAATTGTGATCTGGTGAAAAGGGCTAAGGGAGAGCTAGAATAAATAGGCCAAATACAGAGGTGTCTCTTAGCTGCCACAAACCCAAGGCTGCCCTCCAAGTTACCACACATGGGATAGTGACCTTTGTCTCACAACGGAGTATCACCTGGCTCATTTATAAGTTAAGAAAAATGAAATAAAATAGGTTAAATCAGGACCAAATTGCTTTGGAAAACTGAAAGCACTAAGTAGGGTACTATGTTACTCTAATGTTTAATATTAGAAGTCTAGATTCAACTATAACCCCAAGAAGATATAACAAACCCTTCTTTTTGTCCTCTACAGCCCATCTGAGATTTCTTCTTCTGTCACTAAACCACAGAATAACAACATGATAGCCAAGAACTTGAAGCACATCTATGGCAAATCCCTTTGGGTTTTTTTTTTTAATATAATATATATCCATTAAGAGAAAATTATTAGACAGTTCTCAATATTTTATGAATATATTCCATGTTATTATATAATTTCTGAAGACTAAGTTACATAAAAACTCTACCAAGTGCTTAATTGGTTACCTAACTCATGTCACTTCCAAATATTTTCAACCATTAAATAATACTGCAAAGAACATCTTTGTGCACAATGTTCTGCTGCACTTAGAATTAATTCCTAAGGAAAGGAACTTAGAAGTAATTCCAGGGATGCCTGGGTGACCCAGTGATTGAGCGTCTGTCTGCCTTTGACTCAGGTCGTGATCCCAGGGTTCTAAGATCGAGTCCCACATCGGGATCCCTAAAGGGATCCTGCTTCTCCCTCTGCCTATGTCTCTGTCTCTGTGAGTCTCATGAATAAATATATGAAATCTTTAAAAAGAAAAAAAAGTGTAACTCCAAAATAAAAAATTATAAACATTAAAGAAACGTTTTTTATCGTCCAAAAACTTATCAAAGGCTACACCTATTTGTACAACTCCCTCAATTTTACAAGTATAAGGTCTATCCAAAGTCAACTACTAGCTAGTGGCAAAGACAGAATAACAGAACCCTGATTCCTAGTTAAGAATCCTCTTCACTAGACTACTGTTGCTCTTACCACTCAGTCCAAAAATCTGATAGGGCTGAGCCCATTAGGGCAGAATGAACACGACAAAGTGTAAAATATCCTATAGAGGAAAAAGTCTAGTATCTCTCTGTGTTCTGTCCACTAAATAGGGTTTTAAGTATTTTAGTTTAACTGTAAGTCCACAATGATTTTCAACTCAGACACAAAGCTTTCTTATAAAATGTAAGCATTTGGTTTAGCTTTATATATACATTTTATGTTATTTTTTAAGACTTTCTTTTTAAGTAATCTCTACACCCAACATGGGGCTTAAATTTATAATCCTGAGATTAAGTCACATGCTCTACCAACTGAGCCAGCCAGGCGCCCCTTGCTTTATAAATACATTTTTAAATAAATTTATGCATAGATCCCTACCTTGCACCACACACAAAAATCAACTCAAAATGGATTACAGACTTGAACAAATGACCAAAAACCATAAATTCCAAGGAGGAAATACTGGAGGTAAGCTCCTTAACATCAGTATTGGCAATGATATTTTTGGATTTGACATCAAAAGTAAAAGCATCAAAAGCAAAAATAAACAGAAGTGGAACTATATCAAACTAAACAGCTCTTGCACAAAGGAAACCATCAACAAAATGAAACCTACAAAATGGAAGAAAGTATCTGCAAATCATGAATCTGATAAAAGGTTAATATTCAAAATAAAGACTTCATACAACTCAACATTAAAAAAAACAATCCAAATTACAAGTGGGCAGAGGAACTGAAGAGGCACTTTTCCAAAGACATACAAACGGTGCTAATCATCAGGGAAATGCAAATCAAAACCTCAATGAGACATCACCTCACACTTATTAGAACAATCATCATCAAAAGGGCAAAAGAGGGCAGCCCCAGTGGCTTA